TTTACCAGATTTCCCCTTGTAATACATATTGTGACCCCACCCTACCCCACTGATCATGATTTAAACAATTTGAAATCTACACTACCCCAGTATGCTTCCACATAAGTTTCAGCTTTTCTGGCCCAGTGGTTCTTGAGAAAAAGATTTTTTCTATATATTTCTATGTAAAACATTGATTCCCCATTGTGTCCCCGCCCAACCCCCGGGGGTCATGATTTGAACAATTAAGAATCTACACTACCCCAAGATGCTTCCACATAAGTTTCAGCTTTTCTGGCCCAGTGGTTCTTGAGAAGAAGATTTTCAAAGATTTTTCCTATATATTTCTATGTAAAACATTGATTCCCCATCGTGGCCCCGCCCAACCCCCGGGGGTCATGATTTGAATATTTAGAATCTACACTACCCCAGGATACTTTCATATAAGTTTCAGCTTTTCTGGCCCAGTGGTTCTTGAGAAGAAGATTTTCAAAGATTTTTCCTATATATTTCTATGTAAAACTTAGATTCCCCAATGTGGCTCCGCCCAACCCCCGGGGTCATGATTTGAACAATTTAGAATCAACCCTATTTTTGTCTTTTCTTGATTATCTCCCCTTGTGAGGGGACATGGCCCTTCAGTTTAACAATTTAAATTCCCCTTCACCCAAGGATGCTTTGTACTAATTTTGGTCAAAATCGACCCAGTGGTTCTTGAGAAGAAGTCGAAAATGTGAAAAGTTTACAGACGGACAGACGGACAGACAGACAGACGGACAGACGGACGGACGGACGACAGACAAAATGTGATCAGACAAGAGGCCGAAGGGCCTTGAATGACTCTTCTGATAAATTATACAATCTATCCTAAGACCCAAGATGCATCAACTGACAAAGTTTGATGATTCTTAGCCAGTTAGGGCTGAAGATATTTAAATGTAACTATAAAATACTATAAGTAGGTCATGGTGACCTACTTTCTGAGGACACAAGATGCATTAATTGACAAAGATTGATGATTCTAAGCCAATAAGTACTTGAGATATTCAAAAGTGGGTCACAGTGACCTACTTATTGGTCAACATTCTCCAAAAACCCAAGAACGTGTGACAATTCTAAGCCAGTAAGTACCCTAGAATACTTAAATATAGCCATAAATGTCACAAGTAGGTCACTGTGACCTATATTTTAATCATCATTCTCCGAGAACCCAAGATGCATCAAATAACAAAGTTTGATGATTTTAAACCAATAAGTACCCAAAATACATAATTTAGCCATAAAATGACAAAAGTAGGTCACTGTGACCTACTTTTTGGTCGACATTCTCCGAAAACCCAAGATGCATCTACTGACAAGGTCTTATGATTCTAAGCCAATCAGTACCTGAGATATTCAAAAGTGGGTCACCGTGACCTACTTTTTTGTCAACATGCTCCGAAAATCTAAGATGCATCAAATGACAAAATTTGATGATTCTAAACCAATTAGTACCTGAGATACATAAAACTAGCAATAAAATGTCAAACATAGGTCACTTTGAATTTCTTTTTGGTCGATATGCTCTGAAAACCCAAAATTCATCGAATGACAAAGTTTGATGATTCTAAGCCAATAAGTACCTGAGATACTAAAATATAGCCATAAAATGACAAAAGTAGGTGACTGTGACCTACTTTTTGGTCGACATTCTCCGAAAACCCAAGATGCATCTACTGACAAAGTTTGATGATTCTAAGCCAATCAGTCCTTGAGATATTCAAAAGTGGGTCACCGTGACCTACTTTTTGGTCAACATGCTTCGAAAATCTAAGATGCATCAACTGACAAATTTTAATGATTCTAAGCCAATTAGTACCCGAGATACTTAAATCTAGCCATAAAATGTCGAAAGTAGGTCACAGTGACCTGCTTTTTGGTCGACATTTTCTGAAGACCAAAGATGCATCAACTGACAAAATTTGATGATCATAGGTCTAATAGTATTCAAAATATACCTTTTAAACAATTTAAAAACAAATGCCTGCAAAATTCAAAAAGTAGGTCACAGTGACCTACTTTTTGATAAATATGTTTTAATGCTTCTAGATGCATCAACTTACAAGATTTGGTGATTCTAAACCTCTCGGTGTCTGAAATACTGGGATTAAATGTTTTAAAAAAGATTATCCATGAAATTAAAAGAAAAGGTCACGATGACCTACTTTTAAGCTGATGTTCTTTGTGGACCCAAGATGCACCAACTGACAAAGTTTTATGATCATAGGCCTTAAAGTGTCCAAAATATGCCTCCAAATCAATTTGAAACAAAAGCCCGTAAAATTTAAAAAGTAGGTCACCGTGACCTACTTTTGTATTAACATGATGTCAAGTCCTGAGATGCATCAACTTACAAGATTTGATGATCCTAGTCTTTATACACTGTAGTAAGCAAAATATCAACGTTTTTAATAAGTGTAAATTTGGTCAACTTTGAAGTGACCTTGAGACCACGCCCTTTGCCCCAGGGTCATGCCTTGAACAATTTATAATCTTCAACATATCCTGACCCTTTTATGTAAGTTTGGTGAAAATCTGCTTGGTGGTTCTGGAGAAGAAGATTTTTTAGCAACCAGTACTTTTGTTTTTATTTTCGTGATTATCTCCCCTTGTTTTAGGGTCCCGCCCCTAATTTTAGTATAAATAGTAGCCTTTTGGGCCAAGGATACCCTGTGACAAATTTGACAATAATTGGCCAAGGGGTTCTTGAGTTATGGCCCATATTCTAAAAAGTTAACGCACACCGCACACCGCACGACGCACACCGCACAAATGGCCATAGCATTAGCTCTTTGAGCCTTTGGCTCAGAAGAGCTAAAAAGCTCACTTGAGCCATCGGCTCAGGTGAGCTAAAAAGGATGTACAAACTTTTCACAACTGACATCTGTATTATTACGTAAATACAGACATGAAATAAAGGGAAAAGATATGTTAACATTAAACAAATCAATATAAAAATCACTGAGGTAATTCTTCATTGTATTTAAACTGTTATCGTTAAAAACATTAAATATTATCTTTCTCTGTCACTTAATCTCCCTTCAGTCAATTGAATACCAGTGCTTTATCTTGTGAAATCTTTTTTGTCCGGTCGATATCAATCTCCTAAATCATTTTTATGCCCCCGTAATCGATGACTCGTGGTTATATAGTTTTAGTTCTGTCCGTCCTTCTTTTTGTTTGTTTGACCGCAAAAACGTTTACATGTAAGTACCTCAACCATAACTTTTGAGTTTGTGGGGCTTTGGCTTTTATGATTCGCATGTGTATTCGTTTTGACAATACCTTCCCTTTGGTACCAACAAATTTGATGCCTTTATCTTGGAGTTTGATCCAAGTTTACCTTGAATTTCCAAACTTTAATCTTGGCGATAAGTTTTGAACACTTGGTGCAAGGGCTTTCATTGTAGACATCATGTGTATTCTTTCAAAGGGTAAAGATATTTTTGTATTGTTTTAGTATTGGTCCTAACTTTGGGACAGTTAGTGCTAAAGCTTTCTTATTTCATAGTTTTATTCCTTATAACATTATTTTTCTCTGGTTACTAACAATTCTGACCTTGCATTTGAGAAATGTAAACCCTCGCCATAAGGAGGCATCAGTAAAGTTACATCAATTACATCTTGTAAACTAGTGCTAATTGTAACGGGGACCGTTACAGATGTTCCCCAAACGCTCCCCAACTCCCAAATAGGACAAAATCTATGCATAAATTTGAGACTTTAACAACGCCAAGTTCATTCAAATTTTAGCATTGCACGCGTGCACATGTGAATGCATGTGCGTAATGACCATATCATCTTGTCTACACAATCTATACATTTTAATGTACTAAATATTAAAGTATTTAATCCAAAAGTATTTAAAAATGCGCTCATTCAAGTGCATTTTTGATTTAACTCATTTCACGTGCACGCACGTGCATACATGAGCATGGTGTCCATATCTTCTTGTAGACGTCCATTACATTTCTCTATATTCTAAATCCCACTCCGTTTGGTTGAAAACCAAAGCAGTTATAGCTGTTTGAAGTTTCAGCCAATCAGATTACAGCGCAAGTACACGCACGTGTATGCATGTGCATGGCGACCATATCATGTTGTAGAAGTTCACTATATCTATCTATGTTCCAAATCCCATCCTGTTTGAGTGATAACCAAGGGAGTTATAGCTATTTAAAGTTTAAGCCAATCAGATTGCAGCGCACGTGAATGCACGTGATTTTATGATATATGCTATATATCATGTTGTAGGATATATTAATGCATGGCTATGTTCAAAATTTCATAGGATTTCGTCGAAAAACAATAAAGATATAGAGACTTTAGTTTCAGCCAATCAGAGCAAAGCGCACGTGCATGCGCGTGAGATCTTGCTATTTTGACCATATCATTATGTCTATACTACTAATAAATAATCAAATTATGAGTTTCAAAGCATTTCATCAAAAAATAAAAAAGTTACGGTTATATCTATTATATTGGTCAATTCACGTGTTGCACGCGCACGCTCTTGCAAGCACGTGCGCGCAAAATGACCTTGATTCCACAAATCTATATAACATGTCTACTGACCCTAAAAAGGTTTTACCTACATCGGATGAACAGTTTACAAGATCACTCCCGGACAAAAAAGTACCCAGGAAGAAGAAGAAGAATAATAATAATAAGAAACAGAGTAAAAACAATATGTTCCCCAACTTCGTTTGGGGAACATAACTAATGAGACATCATACATTATGTATTACAAATTATTTCTAGATAATAAATTGAATTTGATATCCTTGCATCAGTTTGGATTACTTGTACTCAGTTTGTAAATTTTACATCTTATTACCACAAAAAACAAAAACAACAACATCAAAAAACATTTCATAAGTCACAACAAAAGAAGTAAGAGTGCGCAATATAAATTTTGCCATTATAATCTTGCTATTGTACATAAAGAATCCTCTCATTCCAAGGCCTTAGTCCTTTGTAATACTTCTGATTGAAGCCTGTCATTCGTTTATTCTAAATTAAGACAAGTAGTCTGTATTCTCCTTTGTATCACATAAAGTAATTCCTGAAGTCAAAGCGAAGAATAAAATTCACATAAAAACGTGTTTTTTTAAAGACAAATGTGACGATGGAGTCTGCACGAAATTTCTCTGAGCAATATTCGGATCAATTGCTACCCAATACAATTGCACAATTTTTTACTGCTGTTCTTGGGATATTCGGAAACTCTCTAGTTATTTTGGTGTACTCTAGATATGTACAGGACAAGACGGTTTCTCGGTTTTTCATTCCTATTCTGGCAATTGTGGATCTTGTAGGTTGTATTTCAAATGTGATTCAATATCACATTGACAACACCATGCATCACCCTAGTGATATTTTGTGTAAAATATTTAGCTTTCTAATCATACTGGCCGGGGGTATTTCAGCGCACTTGATTTTGATGATAGCGTTACAGAGGTATTTAATCATTTGTCGTCCGTTTGTTCCGCAAATGTCAACAAAATCTTGCAAAATTGCTATATTGATTATATTTCTAATATCAGTTGGATATTCTGCTCCAATTGTGAAATTCAGCAGAATACAGGAACCCTTTTCGGTAACACGGTGTACTTTCGATGATGGAACTAACGACAACAGTGTACTGATTCCGTATTTTGGAACTTTTCTCCTTCTTTCTTTTATCAATATCATTGTCACTTTCGCTCTGTACATTCCAGTGATCAAGATCATCTATAATACACTGTCCACTCCCAAACGGAATCGAGTAAGTAGAATCCCGGAAGACAACACCGATATCTCATCTAAAGAAACACAGGATCTTAGTTCCGACAAAATTACAAAGGCGGATTTAACACAAAACATTGTGCAATCTCCTAAAAGTGAACCATCGAACACCTTAACAACGGATGGAAACCGGGAACAAAGAGCGCGGAGGAATATCAGCATCATGTTCCTCGTCATCATAATTGTTTACGTAGTTTCGTATCTTACGTCACTTGTTACGCAAGTCTACACCTTCGTAGACCCAGAAATAGACCTGAGAGGATTCAAGTTAAATGTTTTCGATTTTTGCCTGCGTTTTAACATTTTGAATCACATTGCTAATCCATATATTTACTGGTTATTTGACAACAAATTTAAAAATGAACTTCGGAAGTTTTGCTGCGAGAAATTTTTCAGAAGACATTTGTCTTCTTTGTAAATTTGGTGTCTCATATGATACACAAGAGGAATTCATAATTTCAATATCTGTATTTAAATATATCTGATGTTATGTAAAAATTATATTTGTTCGAAATCATTTTGTATTACATTTATACGTGCTTTATCCTATGTTCATTGCTTAATGTATATTTCAAAAAACACCAAAATAAATCAAACTGTAAATCCATAGCAGTCTGGGTTTTTTTTATTTGAACTTTCAGCTTTCTCTTTTAAAAAAGAAAGACAACTCATTTACAAATATTGCAATATTAAAATGTTCTTGTACTTTCTTTCCATCAAAAATCAAATCTATGTATGAGTTAACATAACCTTAGTTGTTGAGACTTGTGGTATATATATCCATATTAGATCCATAATAGCCCCAGATTCAATGAACCTCAATGCATAACGGCTGTATATTGGGTGAATACTCAGTATATGGAGACATCATCTTCATGTTTAAGTCTCAACATGTAAGTTTGGAATGAGACCTAATTTTTGACCTTGACCCGTCCTTGAAGAGTTATCCTCCTTTGCTTTTAATCAAAAATTATCCGGTTAAAAATCATTGTTTTAATCATTTTTGTATTCTTGATAATTATAAACATTTTTTCAACAAAGTACTTTTTGATTTTGATAAAAAAAATTACTTGTTCCCATATACCTCAATGCT